CTTAAATAATTCCGCATTATGAAATAATATCGGTGACACCCCAGAATTTAAATCAATGAAATTTGGGGCGTTACAGAATGGTATCAGAGCAAGCACCAACAAATGCTTCCAACTCTTTACCCCCAATCAAAGAAATCAATACCATAATCGGAGGCTCTTATATTGGAAGGGATACAATGAATGAACAAAGAAGATATGATTGTGCCGCGAGAAACCCCATACACGAGCTATTATGGATTCGAGGTAACCCTAAACTTGTTTCTCTTCCAATTATTTTCGATAGTAATGATTATTGGTTCAGAAAACTAGTGGAGAAATTTGAGAAAAGCGATTAAAGTATCTATGGAGTATAGAATTCCAACCTAATTTGAGAAGTGGTGGAAGTTCTAATTGGACATTATTTATTGTAAACATTCAGCTTCTTAAAAATTAAATGGAGGACTAATGAGTTTATAACAAATAAAACTCATTTTTTAAGAGAAAGGTTAGACTCAATATATATTGAGTTTGATAAACTTTTTTTTCTTAATAGTGAGATTCACTTCTATAGGTTAATGCTAGCCATGATAGTGTGTTTAAGTTTAGATTACGCCAAATAGACTTATAAACTGTATTTTTATTCTCAATTGAGAATTGATTGAAAAGATCTACATGAATCGATTTGTAAGTTTCATGTTAAAGGCTTCTATAGTATTGTAGTAACGTTTTAGTTATACTTCTAGCCTAATATAGTCATTTTGACATTGCTATTTGAGTTTTAACGGGGTTTAAATCTCGTACAAAATTTCATCATGTGGATAAAGTTTACCTTATTTATGTAAAAATCTGATGGTAAGTTGTAATTCTAATTTTGAAGTTGATGACACTATATTGGTCAAGCATGAGAAATAGTGTATTGAGACCATTTTGAAATGGTTTTCCTTAATATTTGAGACGAAGTGTAGCGACCGCGAACTTTTCAATTTTCTGGCTAAGTATCCAGATATATTAGATCAAGTAAGTTTAAATTTCGAGTACGAAATTATTTTAAGGAGGTAAGGTTGTAGCGACCGAGAACTTTTGAATAATATGAAATTAATTCTCGAAAAACGTGTCGCTCGACTTTAACCCTAATTTTTAAGAAATAGCACGTTCGTCTAGCCGTTATAAATATGAATTTAAATTATTTTGAATCGAATCGAATATTGAATAATTATTTTTATTTCAATTCGGATTTGTTTTATTTAAATCCAATTATTATTAAATTCAAGTCCAAATACATAAACCCAATTTTTTTAGGCCCAATTATATAGGTCCAAACCTGAATTTAATTATTTTAGCCCAATTAGAAACCCTACAGCCCAAATCCAAAGGCCCAACAATCAGGCCCAATATACCACCTTGAAATTTGTGCCCTAAATTCCCACTATTTTATTCATCACAATTCCCTCCATTTCCACATTTCACGCAGCCAAAATTCATCTTGGTAAGAAATGTCTATTCNAATCTCACTTCTCTCCCTCACACTCTCAGCTCCATTTCACTTGGGTCACCATTGATACTAGAACAACCATTTCTAGCTTCAACAGTGAGCTCCCCAAGCTGGCAACCTCAACATCCCAGTCACTGCACCACCATTTTGAACCTCCAGCAGAAACCCAAGCTGCAAACACCACCAACTTCACCCACTGCTTCTTTTGAGTCGCCTACCACCATCACCATTTTTGCACACAACTCAACTGCTCAACACCGTAGCCAAAACACCAACCAAACCAACGCCCAGCAAGCTGCAGTCATCC